TGAACGTGATGTGGTGAATGCTGTTATTCGTGGTCTTCCCACCGAATACTCATCCTTTAAGCAAAACATTCGCATGAACAATACCAATATTTCGTTAAATCGGCTTTCTGGATGGCTGATCTCCGAAGAAATAAACCTGGAGATGGAGAATAAACTCAGCCTCACCGAGTCTACCATCACCGAACCTCGCACAACACTTCTCGCTACGAACGGTCGAGGTCGCGGTAGAGGAGGCTATCGCGGTCGACCGTCACCTGGACGTGGATACAACAGCGGACGTGGAGAAAGGAACAACGGTCGACCGTCCCAGGGAAACGGTCGACCGTCACGGGATCTGCCAACCTGCCAAATCTGCGAGAAACGAGGTCACTCTGCGTCTGCGTGCTGGTATCGATTTGATGATTCTTATACTGCGAACTCCTCCTCTAGTGCTCCCCGTGCAATGCATGCATCTACGAGTAATCATTCTGGAAACTGGTATCTGGACACTGGTGCCAACACCCATGTCACGTCTGATTATTCACACAATAAATAATCCTCTCTCTCTCTCTCTCCAAGAAAAAAAAAACAAGAAAATAAGAGAGAATGTCACATAGGAATCCAAGGAATAGAAGAAGCACCTATATGCCCTACTCTTCAAGGTACCCTTATGATTTTTCTTCCTCCTTTTATAATGGCGGCATGAAGTGTCTACTCATAACTACTCATCGTACGGCCCTCCGTGAAAACCGGGCCGTCGTGGACGAGTGTTTCGAGACGAGGACACATTATTGTGGTGCTCCGATACCATGATACAATTTGATAATAACTTGTCTTATTGAATATTGAGAGATATGACCCTATATATAGGTTATACAAGAGTAATCAAAGTACAAGTAGGAAAGAAAAGAATAATCCTAGTAGGAAAGGAAAGAAGTATCCTAATTTAATTATACTTCCTAATAATATAGTATCCCTTTTGCAACAAACAATAACCAATTTGTGAAACGAAATAGCAAATTTGTTTTTAAGGAAGAACTTTATTAAAAGCAACACACTGCTAATATGATGACATCAAGACAATGTTAATATCAATATGTTATAATAAAGATACATACATACTCCTTCCGTCCCAAATTATTTGTCACATTTCTATTACCGAGTTAAAATATCAAGTTTTTTTAATTCATTTTAATTACATATTCGTAAAGAAATAAAAAATAAAAATTACATATCAAAAAACTACATGAGAAGTTCTTCGAAGTATGAGGCGGCAAGAATATTTTATTTTATCAAATAACCAATGAAAACGTAGAAATAAACAAAAGTTCCCGCGACTGTTGAAAAAGCAAATGTGACAAATAATTTGGGACGGAGAGAGTACAATTTATTGAAATTATTAGTGAACTTTGTAAAGCATAAACGGTTTCATTAATGCAGAACTTTGGGGATGCAAGTGAAGAGTGGGTGAAAATTTGGAAAGGGAAGATTTCAATACCAGGTTCCATCTTATTTTTTTATGTCTAACTTTTACCTCTCAAAGAAATCACGTCTTCATATTTTTGTATCGGTATTTTAAAGAGTATATATGCGTTTATACAATAGTATATTTTGAGGTGAAAATGAGCCAATTGTTGAGTTGGCTTCTTATTAATTGTAAGAAATATATTATATTTTTGGAATGCATAGCTTTAATCATTCGAAAGATCAAGTAGAGTTAAATGTAGAAGATATTTGAAAGTTGGAGATCTTTTATCTTTTCTTATACTCCGTGTTATTTTGCATATGTTATTGACAAGGGGACCTACTTTTAGAAAATTCAAGGAAGGAATATTTTTGTGTTAAATTTCTACAGACTAAAAGTAAACTGTGATGTGTAAATTATTAGTGAAAATGTATGATTTGATAGGTAGGTTAAGAATTAGTACTAGTAAACGTGATTTTTTAGTAGAAATATGATGGATTTTGTGTGACAAGTAAAAAAAGAAAGGGGAAAGAAGTTTTGGGAGAAAGTACAATATTGTTCTAAATAGAAAGTGTGGTTTAGAATGCAATTCTTTCATATATTGTGATCGTGTGTCAAATTAATTCATATAGTTAAATTAATTCATTTATATTTAATCCTATATTTAAATATGGACTTAGACATTTATTTCATGAAAAAATCATTTTAATAATTTGAAAAAAAATTATTTGCCGTGCAACGGACGGGTATGAATCTAGTACAAACAGAAGCAAATGACTTAGTTTTTGTTTCTTCAAAGCCGGTCAAAAACAAGACTGGACCAGAACCTGAAATGAAATAAAATGAGGACCAAAGACCGGACCGATAAATACTCGAGTTAAGACCGAAGCAAAATGTATAGGACCAAAATGATCCCGATCAAATGGATCCAAGATGAAGAACAGATCATCGGGTTCATATTTTTCATGAAAGAACATATCACTCTGAAGTTGGTGATGGAGGAATTGAAGAAGGGTAGGCCATCTTGTCTTCTCGATATCATTGGAAATAAAAAAATACTCCCTCCCTCTCTATTTTGATTACAGAATGGGATTTACGAACCACGATTTTTGAAATCATTTTATTTACAAATTGGTACATTAATAACAAATAAAAATTACACATTAAGAAACTACACCCAAAATTCTACAAAACAAGAAGCGACAAGAATATTTTATTTTATCCAATAACCAATGAAAACATAAAAATAAATAAAAGTCATCGAAGGGAGAGAGAGAATAAAATCGTAATCAAAATGGGGACGAAGGGAGTAGGTGGGCCGTGGACCAAGGCTGCATTCTCTTCGGTTGATCTGATCTGAACTAACCTGAATGAAGCTAATCTGATCCAAATGGATCTGATTTGATTTGAATGGATCTGGTCTAATATAATCTGAATAGATTTTATTCAAATTCAAATAATTTGAGTAATAATAATAATTATAGTCTATACTATATTTAAAAAGAGGGGAACTCCTCATGCCATTTTCCCGCCAAACGATTTTCAATCACAAAAAGTAAATGCTAAACATAAATTGGTAAGTGTTAAATGTAATAATGGAATTTAAAAAGTAATAAATATTTATGAATTATAATGTAGCGTATGTAATAAATTAAAGTGTTGTGTAAAAGTTAATTAATATTTATGAATTATAATATACTGTGCGATAAAAGGTAAGTGCTAAACATGACATTTTTATATGGTGTTTTATGCATATTTTAAAAATATTTACATGGTCAATATTTTTCGATTAAAAATATTTTAAATGGTAATAAATGTAATTGACTCATTTGCACATCAATTTACATTAACTTTTATGTTTAATTATGTATGGAAACGTTGGGGAAGTGACGCCACCATTACACATAGTCTTAGTGAAAAATTAAAAAAACCTACAATGAAAGTTTTACGAAAATCAACTGATAGAATATTTTGTAAATTGTGAATGGAACAAAAAAGTATAACACCGGTATTTTCTAGGACTAAGGCCCCGTTCCGTTCAACTTATTTTTTCTTATTCTTATTAAAATCAGATCAGATTAGACCAGATCAGATAAGATCAGATCGAATCAGATCAGATCCAATCAGATCAGATCAGATCAGATCCAATCAGATCAGATCAGATCCAATCAGATCAGATCAGGACTTATTAAAATCAGATCCCATCAAGAATTATTATTATTATTATTATTATTATTATTATTATTATTATTGTTCTTAAAAATGAAAAGGATAAACTTTAGAAATAGGTTAAATAGAAAACTGAGAAAGTAATCCTTAATTATTAGACGTCGGAAAAATTAGTTTTAAAATACATTGACAATGTCAATCTAATTCTACTTTTAAAATATATTTTTATTGCTACTTGTAATTTGAGTTTCTAAACTTTTGATCTTTTATAAGGATGAGATATTTTAATAAAAATACTATCTCTTCTATATATTGATTATCTAAATTTAATTACTTTTAAATGTATATCTAAATTAAATATTTATTCTAATGTATAATTCTAATTTTACAAAAAAATAATCATAAAATAAAAATATTATTACATTATAATATGAATGATTATTCTAATATATGAATTAACTATTTTTATTTTATTAAAAAATAATCATTAAATAAAAAATATTGATTATATTATAATATGAATTATCATTACAATTCTCAAACATTATTATAAAGTCAAATTAAATTATTGATTTGAAATTTTAAATTAAATCATAATTAATCAGATCAGATCAGATCTAATCAGATCAGACCCAATCAGATCAGATCCAATCAGATCAGATCAAATCAGACCAGATCAGAACTTATTAGAATCAGATCAGATCAGAAAAAATAAGTTGAACGGAACGGATCCTAATACTATAGTCGTCTTTGATAGATAGGGTACGTTTAATTTGTTTTTCAGCTTATAACCTATTTTTTATTAAAATCAGATCAAATCAGATCAAAAATGACTTTAAATATAACTACAATTTAGTCATATCCAGTATCTGATGCAATTATACCAGATCTAATCAGACTAAATTTTTAAAAAATCATATCAATATCAATGCAGCCATATCTGGGCTTTTGTTTGGGGCTGAAAGATTTGGGCCGATGGATAGCGTCCAAGCCCCGCAAACGGCTTTGGCCTACGGAGATTTTACGCGATATGATTTCAGTCGGCGTATATTAACAGTTTGCCGCCTCAAACGTATTCTCTTCAGTCCTTCACGCTTCGTCATCGATATATACGCCGCAATTTCGAAACAAAAACCGAAAAATTCAAATCATGCCCTAGTTGGGTGAAGGAAGCGCCCTTTTCTCCACCGCTCATCCGATACCCTTCTCGCCGGCGAGGGCGGTTTGTTTTTCCGGTGACGGTCGATTCAACCAGAAGCTCGAATATCATGGCTGCGAGCCGTCTGATTCGTATTCCGCCATTGTTGTGCTTGTTGCTGCTTTCCGCAGCTGCTCAACTCTCTGCCCTCATAGGTGACTTAAACATGCTATTTTCTTATCAAATTGTGTGCGCTTGTCATCTTCTATGTTTTTCTGCTTGGAATCGAGTTAGGTTATTGATTATTCCCATGTCTCGGAAAATTAGAAAATCTCGGGGTTTTTAATTTTGTGTTCTTCTTCAATTGAATTGAATGTTAAAACTTTGGAGTAGCTCTAGTGGTTGGTAATTCCTAGGTAAGAAGTCCTCTTCTTGTCTTTTTTTCCTTTCATGACGGAGGGGCATAAAAATGAAGTTGTTATTAGGGATCAACAAGTATGCTATATATAGTTCTTTCATACCCAGCCAAAAATAATGAAAGAAAAAAAAAGATATATTCATACAGTTTGAAAATTTGTCAAAGAAATTGGAATTGCTCTTTTGTAACTTTTGATGGTCAAGTGTGGTGCGATGAAGATAAATTAAAAAAGGGTGGGTTGCTTTCAAATTATCGCATCTGGCAAAGAAGTTAAACTGTTTTAACTAGTGTTGTAAATAATGTTCACAAAACCCCATATGTAGGATTATATCCCCAGGTTGGCTTTTAGTTGCTGACATTGCTTCCTGGTGACATATTGATATCTCTTATATGGGTGCACATGAAATTCATTTTTATGTTTTTAATTTTATTATCATCTGACCGTGTCTTAGGGTAGTGCTCTTGTTTGTTTTTCTGTAGTTCATGCATTATATATCTGAGCATCTCATTTGATTTTGTCTTGGATAACAGAGGTCGATCTAAAACATCCGGTGGTGGATGTCACTCCAGTTCACATATCTGGACATTCATCGTCTAGAGATATTGTATCATGCGAACGTGTTTTAGTTTCTGGTATATCGAGATTGAAACTAGGCAGCTATGCCAGCGCACATCGTGTCACGTTGATCCCATCAGCAGTTATCCCTGAGAGGTTGCATGGCAAGATTCATATTTGCTCTCACAAGTAAGTTTTATGCATCACCCCTCTAGTTAGTATTTAAAATTAATAAGCTCCTTTGTATTATTATTATAATAAGACTTGTTTGGCAATTAATTTGACAGATAAGGTATTTTGCAGGAATTCTTCACTTGGGCTGTGCCAGTGTGAACAAGACGATTGGAAAAGCTTACAAAAAGGGGCATGGAGCTCTGTAATGTCACCTTATCAGGACATGTTAATTGATGTAAAATATGTTGGCGATTTTACTGATTCTGTCACCGTCACTATTGAAGAAGGTAATATGTTATTCACATGAGATTGATGCCCTTTGTTATGCTTAGGTGACTTATCCTTGATCTTTCTGCAGATTCACAAAATTGGCGTATTCTATGTCTTGCTCTGGGCTTGATTCTATTGATATTTGCTCCAATTGTCAGCAGTTGGGTCCCCTTCTATTATAGCAGCTCAATGATGATTGGAGTTTGCCTTGTTATAATTATCATCCTTTTCCAGGTACTAGTTTCTCTTTATTTTCATGCTGGTGTTTGGATTGTACACACACACACACAAAGTAGAAATTTCAATAGACACCCTCTATTTTAGGAAGTACTTTTGAATTGAAGTATTAAACTATGAACTGTCCCGCAATAAAGTTTACATTTTAGCTTTACTCCATGGAGTTTAAGAAAAGCATCAAAAAGTTAAAAGTGTGGTTGAAATTTATTTAGAAGAGAGAAAAATGATATGGACCTCATATTCCTTTCCTTAAAAGTCTAAAACAAAAGGGAGAAGTGTAAAGTTTATTCTTGACGGGCAAGAAAAAGAAGTGTAAACTTTATTGCGGGACGGAGGAAGTATCATACATTGGGTGTTTACAAAAAAAGAATCTACTACTATATATACATATAGTGCTTTTAGTAATTTTCTGCTGGCTTTCACCCTCTTAGCATTTCTTTCAATTACTAAACTCTAAAAATGTCAGATAAATTGATTATGCAGTGAATGTTTCTTATATCTTCTCCTCTTTTTTTTTCTTCCTTTGTATGTTCCTGGCAATGTAGCTCTTAATATCTTTCTCTTAAATGTACAGGGAATGAAATTACTACCAACTGGAAGGAAAAATGTGTTCTACCTAACTATATATGGATCAGTGGTAAGCCTATCTTTTACTCTAGAATATTTATTTTCAAGCTTTTTCAGACTTTCTATAACACCAATTATCACTAGTCACAATATCTTATATTTGTGTTGTTATGCAGCTTGGAGCTGGATCATTTTTGCTGCATCACTTCTCGATGTTAATCAATTCCATTCTTTTGAATTTTGGTCTTGATGAAGAGCTACATAACCCTGTAAGTGATGTACACACAATATGACGAGTGTTTATTAAGGCCTCAATCTGTATCTCTATAAGTATTCGGTTAATGGCTTTCTGATTTCTAATGATGTGCTTCGTAAGATATAAATCGCATCATGCAAAAAGTAGTCCCTACTTATTGTAATTATGATAATTTTGAAAAATGTCTATAAAAAAACTAAAAACCAAAATTTCTGGCTTTCAGAAACTTATCTTCAATTAAAAAACATAAAACAGAAAATATCATTGAACAAACCTTAAATTATTGGTTGATCTTATCACCTTACCTAACCCAATTTTTTTACACTTTGAATCTCAGTTATCTGTATTTGTTCTAGTTGGGATTATTCTTTCTGGAGCTGGCTTTGGATATTGGCTTGTGAGGAAGTATGTTGTTTCAGATAATGGAAATGTGGATGCGGGAGTGGCTCATTTTGTAAAATGGGCAATTCGGATCATTGGTATCACTTTCCTTCTTCAGGTATTAAGGAGTTGCTAAATGTTTTTCCATTCATGAATCATGTATATGTTGTCAGACAACTGTTTGTTTTATTTACTGCTGGGCCAATTATTTAGTACACTATTATCTTATAACCCCATCTAATCACCACTCCGTAGGTGTTTTGGAGGATCAAGATGTAAACAACCTTACCCCAATAGAAATAGAGAGGTTGTTTTCGTTATACCCTTCATGCATTTACTGCCCAAAACTTCATAATGAGTAAGAAGCATAGGACGATTAATGTGTCCTTTTTATTAGCTCCATAATTTACCCAAAGCTAAAGCATTATATAAATGACTTTTTTTAGCTCCATTGACAATTGTGTAGGACTTATTATTTATTCCCGGGCCAAACAGATAGTACTATTATCTTATTGCCTGCCAATTAATTTCTACCCCTTCTGTCCCAAAAAGGTTATCACACTTTAATTTCACGGAGATTTAGGGAAGTGTTTAAAAATGAAAAGTGGGTGGTTAGAATTTTTTTAGAAAATAGATAAGTATTTGGACCACATATCTTTTTCCAAAAAGAGACAGAAAAAGTTGGAAAGTTATTTTGGGACATGAAAAAAGAAATGGGAAAACTTTTATGGAATGGAGGTGGTATTAGCTAGTAGAAACTACCCCTCATGATGTAGTCTATATAGACCTGAGAGGCTGAGAGTGTGTGGCCATCTCACAAAGTAATAGCAGTTGATAAATTCATCGAGAAAATGAGAAGATAGAAATGGAATTACAAAATCATTCAGTTTCAATGTTAAAATAGTCAAAGAAAAATCATTTGATTGGCGATGTGTCCGGCAGCGATTGCATAGGAATTAAGTTAAGTACTCCACATATGATATTGTCTGGAGTGATCCTTAACTGCACCAGTCAACTTACCCGAGTCTTCTTTAGATCATTATTATCATACTACTGGACATATGGACGTATTTGAAACTAATTGAGGATCCAACAAGCAATGGCAAAACAAATTACTCCATCATCGGTAACTTTGAAGCTCTATTGATCATAGTTGTCACGGCGCCAAGGCAAGGTGTGGCACCAGTGACTGCCTATGCCACACATAATAAATGAGAATTATTAAACAATTTTAAAGAAAACAAAAACAGCCCAGGAAGAAATCAGGCATTAAGAAAAAAAGAAATATGAAAAAAAAGAGGATTACTACTACTGACTACTCCCTTGCGACGGCAAGATAATCATCTCGGAGGTATAGCGTATTGGCGTTTTAGGGATTCTAATTTGGGATCTATTTAAATAAAAAATTACTTTCCAAATTCAAGGCATCAAGCCTGCTCAATCGTCCTCAAGGCGATGCCAAGGCGAGATAGGTTATTTAAGGCGAGTCAGTACTCCATGGCGAGAAGAGCATAGCACCAGACCCTAAGTCGACTCCTAAGCGATGGCGTGTCAACTATGCTATCGAAAGTTTCCCTAGATGATGGCATTCTTGAAATCAAATGCCTTTCTAATACTTCATCTGTCCCCAAATGATGCTTTTAGTTTACTTTTCAAGTCAAAGAGGTTAACTTTCACCAATGGTTTTGGGATTATACTGAGCTGGTGTTGCTGTTGTTATAACATGTAATCTATGTGTAAATTCCTTTTTTATTTATATTTCATTGTTATAGAGAAGAAAAAGAGAATTGACTATATTTCTTTTTTTCTTTTTGTTAGAGCACATTAGATACGCCTCTGGCTATTGCTGTGCTTGTTTCGTGGTGGTTGCTATGTTCTTATATAAATTCCATGATGCAACACAGAGCAAGGTATCTTTTCCATTGCTCCCCACTTATTTAATGTATAAATATTTATCATTTTTCAAGTTTTAGATGCTGATTGCTTGCCTCTCTTTGTGCATGCTGGTTCATCTCATTCAAGAAATAGTGCTTTGAGTGCACGGATAAATAAGCAAATGAACTTGACACCATCAAAGCAGGCTGAGTTTTATAGGAAGTCACAGCGACCGGGCTTTTATGGCTCTGTATCTAACAGCCCAAAGAGTTCATCACCCTGGTCTGATTCTACTGTTAGAGGTATTTACCCTTGTGGCATTGTTTACCTTCTAATGTTTTCCTTTATTATGTGCAGTGAAACTTCTTTTTCTGTGTGCTAAACATTTTTTTGGTTACTCTGTTTCTTGACCTTGATTCAATGTTTTTTGACATATGAGTATATACCAATTGAACCTTACCAAGATTTAAAAGTTGTTTACTTAAACAATTTTGTGTGTGTGCAGCGTGGGGTGGGGGTATCAACTGGAAGTGCATAAACATTTTTTTCCAAAATGAGATTACTCCCTCCAGTTATCTGCCTGATTTTGGATGTTTTTGTTGTATTTTTAAATTTTTATCCATTCAAGAAATACATAGAGCATTAGTGAATGGGTTGAAAATATTAAGATAGAGTTGCATTGGAAAACATGAAAATACAATTAGAAAAACTATTATGTTAAGAGGGTGTTTTAGGTTGTGGTAGATTCCCGAAAAGGCAAAAGTTTACAAGTAGAAGCACTTTTGGGCTCATTTTAGACTTATGAAGTCATTATCTATAAGTCGAAGCAGCTGCCAAACACACGAAGAGGGTGTTTTTGGGAGTGTGATGGATTGTTGAAAAGGCTGAAGTTTTAAGTAGAAGCGGAAAGCATAGTTTCTGCTCCCTAAGAGGGTGTTTGGGAGTGGTGGATTGTTGAAAAAGCAAAAGTTTTAAGTAGAAGCTGAAAGCAGATAGTTTTAGCTTTGCTTAAAAGCACTTCTGGAGCCCATGCTAGACGATTGACAAACACGACAAACTACATTTTAATGAAGCAGGAGCTCAAAAGTAGTTTTTGAACGCAAACCCGAACACCCTCCAAATTGCATTTTAACGAAGCAAAATCTAAAAGATAATTTTCAAACACAACCGCGAACACCCTCTAAATGTGTTGAATGACCAATAGCTTTCTTAGGTAGGGATAAGGTTTACGTCCATATCTCACTTGTGGTTTCTTTGCAGGACTGCGACAATCCGGTAAAACAAGGGGAATAAGAAAGGAACCTGAGTACTATTTCTCAACCTACCACAAAACACCCAACAGGAAGAGATTCTCCAGGAGGGAATGGGAGGAGCTCACCCAAGAATCCACCAAGGTGGGGATTGCAGAGCTAGCATCTTCGCCCGTATTCGCAGACTGGGTCATGAGAAATGCCAACAGAGTGCAGGTGGCCCCCACAGAAGAGAGTTCGGATGAAACGGTCGATAGTGGGTCAGATGATGACAGTGCTGCAGAGAGCTGTAGTGGAATCAGCTTGTTCAAGTGGCAGCAGTGAACAACACATATACATCCCCCACCACCACCACCACCACCTCCACCGCCGCCGCCCATTCTGATAGAGGAACTGATGCAGTTTTTAGCTCATTACTATATTGACCAACTGGCAGAGTTTGTAAGATTAACTAATTACCTTTGTAGTCTGTAGGCATGGAACATGTGAAAAAGAGGGCTGGTGTTGGAGATGCACTACATACTTTTTTCTGTCTAATTTTTTTGTGTGAATCTAGGATTCATAATTGCCATTCTACCATTGTCTTTTTTTGTGAATATGTTTTATTGCTCCACCAATATGTATTTCTCACTTGATTCCTTGCACTCTTGCAGCATAGCAACACTTGTAATCACTTGATAACAAATTAGTTATCTTTTACTAATCAAAACATAATAGGATGGTGTTGAAATGTATACACACCTTCTCCTCAAAGAAGTATAGAACTCCAAAAAAAATCAGAAAATTGCTCCTGGGTACCCCATATTTTGAGAAACTAACTGCCGGGTACCTCATATTTTTAAAATATACTCTGAGGTGCCCTCTATTTTTAAAAACTAACTATCGGGCACCTCACATTTTTAAAATATACTCCGGGGTACCTCTAAATATACATTAACTTACCCATAAGGGACATTCTGTTTCATTCGAAAACTTCGATTAAACTCGATAGGTTATATCATTAAAGTATAAAAACTAAGGTTATTTTTGGAATTCCAAACATCTAATTCTTAAAATTAATGGCGTAACTGGTTTTGACGAAGAGTAAGATGGGATGTCCTTCACGGGTAAGTTAATATATATTTGGAGGTACCCCGGAGTATATTTTAAAAATGCAAGGTACCCGATAGTTAGTTTCTAAAAATATAAGGTACCTCGGAGTATATTTTAAAAATATGTGGTACCCGGCAGTTAGTTTCTCAAAATATAGGGTACCCAGGAGCAATTTTCTCTAAAAAAAAAATAGTGACTTGTAATATGAAGAGAAAGCATTACAACATAACCAAAAAAACAAATGTCTAATGTCAAAACATGTACTACCTTTGTCTCGAGGGATTTGTCAATTGTGCAAGTTGCATTAAAGGATAACATTTTCAGAGAGAGTAAATATTGTGCTTTAGGACCTACAAAAAGTCCATACATTATTATACGTCCAATGTCTTGTAAAAAACATTCCATGTTTTTTTTTTGAAGTCAAACATTCCATGTTTAACTTGCCATGATGATTAAGAAAAACGAGATTATGTAGTTGAAAGTAATGCCAAAAAAAGAAAAGTACTACCTCCGTCCCTTTTTATAACGCCTGTTTCGGTTTACGATGTTTGACTGAAATTATTTTCAAACCATTTCATATGACAAATGGGATAGAATTAAAAAATAAAAATTATATATTAAAAAACTACATCAAATTACATATTAAAAAACTACAAAACTAGTAGTGACAATAATATTTTATTTTATCAAATTGCTAATGAAAATAGAGAAAGAAAGTGAATGAAGTTTGACCTTGTTAATAGTAAACATGCATTATAATTTGGGACGGAGGAGTAATAAGCTACAAAAAAAATTTCAAAAGTGGAAAGTAAATCTTTTTGAACCACTGAAAACAGAAAAACAGAAATGTGGAATTTTTTTTATGCGATTGAAAGAGTACGAGTGTAAAGTTAGTGATAGAAACACTCTTTGAAACATGGTGTGTTAAGTTTGAAATTTTTTTTAGGATGGAGAGAATGATCCATTTTTTTACAATCATAATATTTTTTATTTAATTTTTTTTTTGGAATTTGTGTCTTTACTAAAATTTAAAAACTGTATTATGTAAATTTGAGTTACTGTTTTTAAATATACTCCTATATCTTAATTTATTTTATTTGTCTTAATTAATAATATTTGGAATTACGNCTATTTTAAAAGAGAAGAGGAAGACCACTAAAGTGGTGTGAGGAAAGTTAAGAAAGAAATTGAAGAATCATTTGAAATAAGAGAGAAGAATACCGCTATAGATAGTACGGAGTAAATGAGATTAAAGAAAATGAAAAGAAAATAAAGATAAGAAATAGTGGTGGAATTAATAGAAAATTAAGAGAAAAGAGAAGAAAAAGATGGAAGGATAAGGAACTTGTAGCGGAAGGAAGATAATGTCGTGTTCTTACCTATGTTGGAGAGAAAACTTTTTGTGCGAGAGTTTTTTCTTGTAGGGGAGAGTTTTTTCTTTGCTTTCGAGAGTTTCTTTACGATTCTTTAGCTCGCCGTTTTTTTTAATCGTTAGAATATAAATTATAATTATAATATTCAACTTTATTCATTTAAATAACGACTACATTATTATAATTTATAAAAAATTATAAATTTCTTTTACATTACATATAGTATTATACGGAGTATTATTCATCTATTAAATTTAAAAAAAAATTAATAACCGAAAATTGGTCTGGAACCTGAGCCGGAATCACTGGTTTATGGCTGGGGCGCCTGAACCGCTGGTTCCAGCCCTACTCCCGCGTATACATCGAAGACGGGAAAAAGTGAATTGCGCGGCCTGAAATTCCTGGCGAGCAGACGTTAGAAACAATATCACAGGACCCGATTCAAATCCGATCTCTCTCGTCTTCACCTCCTCATCCTACTCTTCCTCTATCTCTAAGTCTTGAGTTCTTCACCCCGACGAATCGATCGTCGCCGGCAACAATGGATTACGCTTCATGTGCGCTGCGGTCTTCGTCTTCCTCAATCGTTCCCGCCAAATTCGCTCCCGCATCCAACCGGGTTACCGGAAACGTTGCCCCGATCTTCTGTCGTTTCAATCCGTTTTCTACCAATCAGTCTAACGGCGTCGCCATACTCAGATCTCGTTCTCAGATTCGTGCATGTAATCCCTGACTTCTTTTCCCTTTTCGCTGCTTCCGTTTTCGTGTTCCTGTTGTCAACTACTCATTCCGATTTAGCTGTCTAGTTTCTGATTTCTGAACTTCTTAAAATTATAACTTTGAGACGGAAAAGGAAAATTAGAAGCTAGCTGGGACAGAGGGAGTATGTGTTAGTTTCTGAATTCTTTAATTTTCACTTTAGTTTTTACAATCCTTATAATTTCTTTTTTACAAGGCTTTAAAATCTAAGGAGGAATTATTACTCCCTCTGCCAAAGCATGAATTAAGAAATGGCAGTTATTAATATAATTAAAGCATTGCTTTTCCAAAAATATACCAAGTAGCTAACAAGCTATATTTTATCTATATTTTACTCCGTACTTATATATCCCAATGTCTCATTCCGTATATTATTCCTTTGAACAATTCATCTGGTATTGCTAAGAAGCAATAGATTAATTTGGGGAATCTGTGGACTTAAAGATACAATGATATGTTCAATAGGGTAAGTGGATTATCTCTGTTGGATGAACATAAACGGAAAAGTGAACCGTTCATGGGATGGATGGAGTATAATTATTTTCTGTTGGGAATTTTACAGTATGGATGCTGGTGTTGGATTAAATCTTAGCTTATAGTATTTTGATTCTTGAATAGATAGTTTGAAATGAAACTGAAATCAGGGAAATAGAGTTTAACTATAAAGATCTTCACATGTAATCTAAGCTTCTCCTTGCTAAAAATGATGTTCTTTTGATCTCTATTTTCCAAACTTTATGCCCTTGTTTGTTTGGAGGGAAGGACGTGGAAATTGGAGTGTTGCTTGTTTGATTGGGAAAGTTGGCAGGAAATGAGAGGCAGATGGAGGAGCTATAGTCTCGTCCAAACTCAATTATCACTTCCTAAATTTGGAGCATTGGAGTTATATATATATTTTTTATTTCTTTTTCCCCTTTATAAAATAAAAATTGTTCTACATTATAATTCTTATGCATATAAACAACTATATTTTTATTTACACATAATTATTTCATATGTACTCTAGTATTTTAGGAGTAGGCAAGTACATTTTTATTGTTAAACATTTAGATCACTCTATCATTTTTTATTCTTCTTGATCCAAGGGTCTTTAGGGAACTATCGCTATATCTTTACAGGCTGGGGTAAGGTATGTGTACACCTGCTCTCCCTAGACCAAGCTTGTGGGACATTACTAGTTGTTGTTGTTGTTGTAATATTTTCATATATTCTCTAAAATATTAATTCCTTCTCACTGTATGCTTAATTGAGCGTAAAAGATCTAGACCCAGTTTGGGATTGGGACTGTTGTGGCATCTTAGCCACTCTACCTTTTTTCTACCAATATTGTTTGTGCAAAAAAAGGAAAAAAGTTGCTTTAGGTTGAGCACTTCAATGCACCATAAAAGCTAAAACATAAAAAAAAACATCATTTTTTGGCTTTTAGCTAGGAGCAGTGTGGATTATATATGAAGTTCTTTATAGTAAACTTCTACTTCTTGGATTTCATTTCCATTCATGCTATGCCAGGATAATAGGCTTTTATTTCAAATTCTAAGTTTGAGCCAAAATTCTCTAGCCGGGATTCCAAGAACTATGAGCTAAGATTTAGTCCAGCTACAACTCGGCTGTTTTAAGGAATTAACCTTTGCAAGTGTGTAAATCAATTATGAAACAACTTTAGAATTTACTTTTTATGTGTGCAGGCAGTTTCAAATGAAGTAGGGAGCATGAACAAGAGAATAAGCAGTCTTGAATCTCTCTTTTGCTATGACAAGTCAGTACCTGAGGAAGTTATAGAGAAACCTCTTGGGCTGTCTTCGATCGCGAAGAGTATTGGAAATAACGCACCTTGTGCTGGCTGTGAAGCAAAAGGCGCCGTCTTATGTAGCACGTGCTCTGGTTCAGGCTTATATGTTGACTCTATTATGGAATGTCAAGGGATTATCGTCAAAGTTCGATGCTTAGGTGAATGTTTCTTTTTGCTCTTTCTCTGCCATTTATTTTACACTTTAATCTGGGCAGATCGGATGAATCCGTAGTATCGACGCATGGGTGGGTGCAAATTTGTACGCATGGGCAGTAAAATATTCAATTTTACTGCCCCCTCTGGAAAATTGCATATAGGCTTCGTTTGGCAGCACATTAATTGATTTATTTCGCTCATCAACTGAATATAAGTAGCCTTTGACTTATTTGGCTGAAATCAGATTTTACCAAACACTCTTTCTTTCAGCAAAACCCACACGTTTCAGCCAAACAAGTCTTACCATGAGCATGTTAGGCGTATTGCTCCAACCATGATTCAACCCTTATCCCCTTATTGCATCATTCGCAGCAAAAAAAAAACAGGAAAATTGAATGTGTTTTTGATTACTCTGTGTTGTTCTTTCCTCGTTCTTGTCAAGCAGGTTGTGGTGGGACTGGGAATATAATGTGCTTAGAATGTGGCGGCCGAGGTCATAGATGATTCCTCCATTGTTGTACGGACTTGTACCCCCATAGTGTCTGTTGAGTGGCTACACAAAGTGCAAATGCCGGAGGTAAGATTTGACAAGGAGACACTTAGCAGTTATGTTTTCCAAGTTAGTTGTTGTCTATCCCTCCTACATTTCCTACAAATTTCACTTCAAAATTTTGTAGCTCAAAACGTAATATGCTGTGCATTATATATTTGCTCTGTTATGAATTAATCTGTCACACTTCACTGTTCATAGATCAAATTTTATCTTTTCTTTCACATATTTTTGTTATTAATTTGATAAAATTCCATAATCATGTCGTCTCTTACTTTATAAATAATTTCATGTGGCTTTAAATATGCCATGTATAAATTTAAGGGCAAATTGCACCAGTAGCCCCCGTAGTTTGATTTGGAAAATATACACCAATACCTCCCATCTTTTCAAAACTTACTTCTAAAGTCCTCGTGGTTTCAAAACGTTGCATTCATATCCCCTCTGATTATTTTCCGGCCATTTTTTTGTTACAAAATAAAATTTTTGTTCTTCTTAAAGGATTCACCAAGTGATCCACATTCTTTTTTCTTCATAAATCTCAACCAAATTATCTTACTGTGGTAATTTTCCTACTCTACTCTGCATTTAATCTCTTAACGGTCTATGACTCACTTCTCTCATCTCTATACATTTTGAGCGTAGTAATTCTACCTTTTTCCTTGTACGTTGTCAGTTGTTATCTCTCTCATATACTCCGTATTATGAATGGAATATGGTCCCTCAATACATGAAAACGGTCACTTTTGTGGCCACCTTTATTTAATACTCTCTCCCTCTTACATTAATTTTTTTTAAAGTTTGGCACAAACTAAAAAAAATTAGATAAGTTAAAAGTGATGCCGTAGAGAAAGAAAGATGATAACTGGTAAGTCACAAAAAACTTTTTAAGAAAAAAATTGGAAGTTTTTTTAGACATCCATAAAAAAATGGAAAGATTAATTTGGAACCGAAGTGATTATCCTCCATTCTGTAAGGTTGGACGATATGGTTCCTGTCCGCCTCCACGAAGGCGAGGAGAAGGCGGGAACATCGCCCCATCGCCCCCCTGATGCCACCACATGCAGGAGGGAGGCAATGTCATTGTTGTTCTTCTCGATGGTTTCTTTGCCTTCTTTTTAGTTGTTAGGTTAATGAATTTTTAAAAAAATTAGTAAATATTTTTCTGATCATCCTTATTTATTTTAAATGTGCACATTTATTTTTTAAGATTTATGCACTTTTTTAATTACTACTATTTAAATGTATTTTAAAATTTAATATTAATGAAATGTTTAATTTATGTTTTAAGTTTAACTAATTTAACTTAAATATTAAAAATAATAATTTTAAAAAATAGAAGGAGAACGAAACTCCTAAAAGAATTAAGGTGACCCTGAATTCTGAGAGGTGAATCATACACCAGCCTAAGTGCCTGACAAACAAGGACGGATGGAGTAAATGACAAAAAAAAGAGGTAGGGTAAAGTTGAAACAAATAATAATACCACCAATTATTATTATTAGTACACCAATTGAATTAAGCACTTTTACACAACATATATATCATTGACACAAATTCCAAAAGGTAGCTCCAGATCACACTCAAAGAATTTGATCGGAAAGTGACGGAAGTCGCCGGAAAAAGTTGACGGGGACGGACGGCATGTCCCCTCTGAACCTCGGGTGGCGGAGGTAGTAAAATCCGGCGACCAAAGCAAACACCTTAAAAGGGACCAAGTAGAAGACGAGAGAAGCCAAGAACCAAACCACCGCAAATATCCCACTCGCCCTCGCATCCCTCCACTTGAACAGTGCCTCCACCCTCTCTCCCTGCGCCGCCACGTCGCCGAGCAGCATCTGGGCTCGCCCCGCCAGCGCCCTCAGCCGGTCGTACCGGATCCGGATCTGGTCGGGCGCTCGCGTCGTCGGGAACCCGTCGAACTCCTCGTCCAGCTCGTCGGGACCCACCGCGTCGAGATACGACATCCGCGGGTCCATCGCGACCGCGACGTTCCGGCGGGACCGGGACCCCGCCGACGCGACGAGGAACACGTACATGCAAATTGCCGGCAAGATGAGGTGCGGGCACAGCACGCCGGCCACGAGGAGGACGTGGACGAGAACCGTGGTGGCCGGGTTGGCCCATTTCTGGATCTCGTCGATCCGACGGGCCAACGCGGCCACTTTGGACAAGCACCCGACGACTCGGAACCAGTTAGCCTTCCCCCTCCTCACGCTCCAAATGTGGGTGTCCGAATCCAACATGAACTGAACCACTTCCGGACCTAAAGCGGGTTCGGACCTGGCCAGCCTTGTCGCCACAAGTCTCATAGCCGTGTGCTTTAGTATATCTTGTTGGCCGAGCCCGAGTGGCCGCACATAATGCATCCGTGGCAACACGGGGCTACCGTACGCCTGAATCAAACTCAACCACGACGAACACGTGAACCGCAGCGCGATCTCAATCTCGCCCATTCTCTTGGCTCCGCTCGGGAGCAACACGACGAGTGAATATGTGCCCACATACACCTTATTTGTGTCGAGTGTCGAAAGACGTACGCGTAGCTTCCCAAGACGGAGATCCTTCTTAGTGTTATCTTGTTGCTTCTGACTGTTGTACCTTCCGTTGTCGAACACGCCGATTGTTAGCACAGTACAAGGGTCGTAAACCTCCCACATGTATTGCTCGTTCCACCGTGGATTGAACCGGTCGACGATCGTGCGCGTGCGGACCCATTTCGGTCCGTATTTTGCCACAACATAAGCGTCAGTGGTCCCGCGCGCGCCGTTGTTGGTTTTCACCGGTAAGAGATTGGTGGCACCTCTGATTCCTAGCTCAAGCCGTCCAATGGGCGGCTTTGCGAGCTGGGTTGAGGTGGCTCTGACGTCGCTCGTCACATGAGCTGCCTCGTCGAGCACGTGGTACCCGCCTTCCAAGCTTAGTTTCACATGGATACGTCCGGCATATTCTTTGTTCTCGCCGCCACCGGTGACCAAATTAAACCACCGCGACCTTCGCTCCGATTTGTCGTCGGCGAGCCGGTCGATGGACGCCACGTGTACCAGAGCGTGGCCCACGGGTTGCCCGTGGGCCGCATCCTCCACGGTGACGGTCAGAAACGGGTCAAACGGCTCTGCTGCCACAAAGATAAGGTCCTCGTTCCACGTCGGATTTGAAGCTGAGCTGGAGGATTGGAATGTGGTCCGGCTGGTCTTAAAAATTTGGGCGCCGAGTTGACCTCTGACGTACAGGACAAGATCCCGAACCTTAGCTTCGGATGTTCCCGAACCAAATTTCAAGTCCTGGGTTTGGATGACCGTTAGCCTCAGATACCAAAGCTTCGGAGACAAGTAAATCTGTGCTCGGGTCTCCGGCACAAGCCCGCCGGAGTCGGACTGCCAGGCATCATTGAACGCCTCGTCAGCCTGAGTACCAACCCAAACCGACAGCATGACCTCATTTTCCGGGAAGCTCAGGCTGTGACTGCCGTGTAAACTGTACCACTGAGGGGCCAGTGGGCTATCGGACGGCAATCTGTTGGGCACCTCCGGCAAGTCAAACCACACAGCTCCGATGCAATTATCCTCTGCTTCCTTCTTCTCCACCCAAACGGAGACTTCCAGGGAAGTCGAATTCAACCCCCCTTTGTCAAAGGCGAATACTTGATCGCACTCTCTGTTCCCGGCGGCGGCGGCCGGAGTGAATGATTTTGTCCTGATGCTGTGAGTTCCGATGTCTAGCTTCGCGTAGGCGGTGGAGTCGGGTTCCGGGTCGACCCGGTTCACCTTCACGACCCGCACGAATAGGAACGGCATCTGATCTACGAGATCGAAGGTTCTGTTCTGCAGGTCGCCGCCGGAGATGCTCCGGACAACTTTCAGTTCGCCGCACTTTTCCGGCATGGGTTTGTTGATGCGGGGTTTCTGCAGCACTGCAGGTGGTTGGGCCGCCGGTGGAGGCACTGTTTCCTCGTTCTTTTTCGGATCCTCCGGCGGCCTGTCTTCTTTCTTCTTCTCTGTTTCTTGATTCTCCGGCTTCTCCTCCTCCGGCGGCCCGTCTTCTTTCTTCTTCTCTGTTTCTTGATTTTCCGGCGAACCCTCTGCAACCTGCGGTGGAGTCTCCTCCTCCTCCTTCTCCTCCACCGTGGGAGGCGGCAGAACCTCCGGTTCATCTTCTTCATACCAAACTTTAACACCGATTTCACCTTTGATCTGAGAGAAGACGCTTCGCTTCGCGAGAGGATAGTAGACGAGGGACTCAGATCCGGCCTCGGCGAAGCCATTGCCGGCGATCTTAACCTTTCCTAGGAAAGCCGATCTATTTTCAGAGGCCTTGTTGTAGAGGTTGAGCTCGAGCGTCTGGGAGGCCATGGAATCGGAATCGTGGATCAAGAACTCGAGACGCTCGTTCCACTGGGGGTTGAGATTCCGGTGAACGGTGGCCGTCCGCCGGCGCTGGCCGTCGAAGTCCGCCTGCACGTAGGCGCTGGCGGTGCCCTGGCCGTCCTTGGGCATCAAATTCTTCGCATTACATATCTCCACCATCAGCTTTCTGCGCGGAATCTGCGCGGAAGCCATTGCAACAAATCAAGATTCAAGAAATTTCCAGAATGGGGTTTGCGATTCTTTTGTTTTGTGAGGAATTTATTATTAGAGAGAAGGAAAAAGACAGAGAGGTGGAACTGTGAAAGAGTGAGTGGGGAGGAAAATTGGAAGTGGCCGTTGCTCTCATACTTAATGTGTGGAAGATGAAAAAGTTATTCCTTCTTTTGAATTTTGATGGCCCACTCGTTCAAAAGAAATATTACTTCTGTCCATTTTTTTACTACCTTCGTCCAATTCTCTTCTTCCAGTTTTGACTTTTGGATTTGTTCATTTAAGTACTTTGATTCATTAAATTTTCTCAATGTGTAAGCATAAAAATAGTCATGTGTAATCTTGTTTGATTCATCTTGACATATAAATTATTAATATATAATTTTTATAATTTTTTAATATATAAATTACAAGATAAAATGGATTAAAGAAGTGCATTGGATGATGTGCCAAAAGATAAGTAGACAAAGACAGTGGGACGGAGGGAGTAAAAAAATTGGTACATCAATAAAAAAAATAGAATTTATATATTAAAAATTACATTCTAAATTCTACAAAATAAGAGATTACAAGAATATTTTATTTTATCAAATAATTAATAAAAATACACAAATAAACAAAAGTTATCAAGAGGGGAGAGAAAATAAAATTATGATCAAAATGAGAATGAAGAGAGTACAAAGTACTACTTGAAACATTGGGTTTTGAACAAAAATTATGGGGAGAACTTTCTAGATATGAGTAAAAAAACTATAAAAAATACCAAAATAGGGGTCCTAAATCTTTTAATACCAAAATAGAAGTTTAAAATGTCATTATTACACTAACATACTCAAAACATTGTAATTGTCACACTATCACTGCCACACTGTCATTCGTCTACCAGCCACCAGAGTGTTGCGCGTAGATCACCAACGGTTGACTGGCCACATTGATATATTACACTGTCATCATTGTTACATCACACTGCCAACACGTACTCCTATACCAAACTGCCATTATACGACCATTTTGGTCTTTAAAGGCTTAGAACTCCTATTTTGATATTTTTATACTTTTTTACTTCTATCGAGGGGGATTTTTTAAAATTTTGATGACCCAACCCGAATGACCCATTAAAAATGGGTCAACCCCGATCGAACTAAACCTTAGCTGACCGACCCACTGATGCAAGAGTTTTCTCAAAATTATATACTTTACTATGAAAAATAATGTTATAACAATAAGGTTATAATTATTTTTTCTCACTGCTCGTTTTTAGTGTATAAATTTATATTTTCATACAAAGTTGTAATGGTATTGCATAATTATCTTACTTTTTTCTAAAACTTGTGCATTTTTTTAATTCTTTATATTGATTTATATATCTTAAATAAAATACTCTAATAGATTCAATACATATTTTTTTTTGATAATTTAAGTTTATTCAACGTGAAATGCAAGTCTTAATATGGATTTAAAAATTTAAAAAATCAAATTCATAACATGTTGGATTGACCCGAACAGGATGACACTGTAGTCATGATGACTACAGTTAAGCGTTTCAAGATGTATTGCCTTAATCTAGTTATAGTTTAAGCGTGAGGGAATCAATTGCCTTAAACTAGTTATATTTTAAGCGTAAGGAAATTAATATCCTAAACTGACTACAGTTAAGCATAACGAAAAATGTTACCTTAAACTAATGATAGTTTAAGCGTCATATTGTCAATTGGCGTAAGCTAATTATAGTTTAAGCGTCTGGTTATGGAAATATGGATTTGGCCTTAGATTAAGAATAGCTAAGAGCATTGTAATGATTTGGCCTTAGACTAAAAATAGCTAAGAATGTTGTAATGATTTGGCCTTGGATTAAAAATAACTAAGAGCATTGTTATTATCAATGGCCTTAGATTATGAATAATTTAAGAGCACTATCGAAATAATGAATAATGAATATTTGAATTGAATGACATGTATTGATATTAAATAACAATTTCAAAATCATGAATGATGAATACTTGGATGGAACATTATGTACATGATATCAATTGATTTGATTATGAATTGAAATTTAATTTATATGGATCTTCGATGCATTAGATATGTTTACTCGGCTTCAACGCTGAGCGTGTAATATGTTTTATTTGCTATATACAGGTAAATAGAAAGAATGATGTGACGTGATTCTGGAGGCAAACAAAGGCGAGATAGTCGGGATGAATGTGATGGTTTTGAATTGAATGAAATAAATAAATTATGTTTTGTGATTATGGTTTGCTAAGCTTCCGCGAGATTGAAAATTTCGTACTGTTACTGTTATGAATATTATTCTTATGATGAACAAAAATGTTTAGAAATATTTTAAATTTTTACGATTACCAAGTTAATACTTTAGTCTGAAAGGGGTCGCAGACCTGGACAAATTAGGGTGTTACAGTTACAAAATAGGGTCCATCAAGTTGAGGACTCGTGATGATACATTTTGCACCTTGAATGAAGTTAGACATGTTCAACTTATGACAAAGAATCTGATATCTTTGACTCGTCTTGATAGTAATAGTTTCTGTTTCCAGGGTAAAGGTGGAGTTATGAGTTTCTACAAGGGTTCGAATGTGGTTTTGAAAGGTATTAAAAGTGGTACCTTATATTTTCTGCAAGATTCTACTATCAAAAGTTTTGTTGGTTTTGCATCATCTGATATTCATAGAGGCGATGAATGTCTTGATGGTAAGGTGGAGGTTCTAATCGCAAAATATGAGGCTATCAATCCCCTAGAACAATCACTCAAATCTCTTTCTGCACCTCATTGAGGTGATATGTGCCCAAAGAAGGGCGATCTGGGTTGGGAGTCTGGGCTTGAGGTGGAGTCATCTAGGACACTAGGTTAGTGTCGTGTGTTTTTGTTCAGGTTATATGAAGAGCCATTTGGATTCTAGGTGGACTTTGCTTCTGTTGGTGTTTCAGCTTGAGTTATTCGTCCCCAGGCGTGAGAGAAATCAGTTTTGTGGTGTGTCGCGACACTTCTAAACTCAAGTAAAATAATCTGTTTATGTTTTTTTTTTGTGACATTTATGTCATAGGTTGGACTTCTCGTACCTATGGTATATCTGGTCACTTTTGAAAAGAAATATGCTATCTTTACACATCTGATTCTGGTGCTTCTACTGTCTTATGAGAAAATTCAAGCCAAAATGGAGATTTGTTAGAATGCCTTGAATTATATTCCATTTGACTAGTCAACAATGGCTGCACCTGGCTGGAAACTAGCTAGAAAGTGGCGGCAAACTAACTAGAAACTACCTGGAAAGTGGCCTTGACAAAAGGATAAGTTGGTGGCTAGTTGGTGAAGTGGGTAACTTTATGACAGCAGTGTTCTGGGCTGTCAACAACTCACTTCCCATTTGATTTAGGCAGCCAAGGTTGCTGCCATCTTTCCTTATATATATGTTTATTTGTAAGACATTACTAATAATGGTAGTTACCTAGAAAATCCCTCTATAATCTCTCTCCACAATCAGTAAAAAATCTCTTCTATTCTATTAGATGGACGTAGCCAACATATTGTTGATGATCCACGTTAAATCTGTGTGTGTTTATTCTTTCGTTTCTTTATTGTTTGTTATCTTTCTTACACTCGTCATAACAGGATATATTGAATAAAAATAAAAGTGCAATCATTTCATTGGAAGTGAGACACTACGAGTGTGAAGTGAATGAGATAGTGAATACAGTCAGCACTGATGTGGTGCGGAGTGACAGATGATCTAGATTGAATAGTGGTGGAGTGCTACATATAACCTAATTATACTCTAATTAGTAATTTGTGTCCTTTTTATTAAATTTAACTCTCTTATTCTTTTTTCATATATACTCCATATATTTTGTGTAAATTTTAGTCAAATTCATATTTTTTAAAAATTTAGATTTGTTTTTTTTTTTTAAAAAAAATATAGAAAATTTAAACATGCACGTGAGAGGGGCGAGAGGAATGATTTAGAATCCCATTCCTAGATGATGTCTACTAGTACTTGTTTAGTTGTTTATCCCACACGCCGCGCCACCCCACCTCAAAGAGCTTCTCCATAATTCTCTTCTCGCCCCCTCACTCCCATTCGTCGGTAACCACACCTTTTCTTTTTTGTCTCCATTCTTCTCAATCTCCATTATTGATTCCTTTCTATGCATATCTATTATACTCATTACTGTATCTTTATATCTGTATATACATCTCAATCTCCATTGCATGTTTGTAGGGTTATCGATTCCTTGATTTCCGGACTCATACTTCTTTTTTTTTTGGTTTATGTTATTACGAAAAAGAAGTAGGGCAGGCGAGTGCTGCGGCGGCGGCGGAGGCGACATGGCCATGTGCGGAATGGGGATGGACGAGCAGCGGCGGAAATGCTCGCAGTGGGCGGCGGAGCACATGGGGTATTGCTTGTGCGGCACTAAGGATGGGGTTTCTCTGGTTCTCGGAGCTTTGAGTGTGCTGAGTTGGGTGGTGGCTGAGATTCCTCAGATCATTACCAATTTCAGGGATAAATCCACCGAGGGCCTCTCCTTTTGGTTCCTCATAACATGGATTATTGGGTATACGATTCTTTTTTTTTTTTTGTCTTTCACACCTTATCAGGAAATTATGGGTTTGTGGCTTTTTTGGAATGTGACAAAATTTCAGTTCTATAAAAGCTCAGTGATGTCTTCTCAGACTTGGTGCCCTCACTTGGATATTACTGGAAGTTTTCACAGATTTTTTTTCATTACACTTGCTCAACGTGTGGTTTTTTATTAGTTTTTTTTCTTTTTTGTTCTCTTTTATAACCCATCAGTTTTTTACAGCCTCCAAACAAGTGTTATTTTTAATTTAACGTTGCAGTATTTTGATTGGATGATATTTCATGTTAATACATTTTTGGATCTCATAAATATCTTTTATAAAAAAAGAGGATTTCTCGTTGGATCGTTGTTCTCTATTCATTGATGTTCTTCTTCCTTTTCACACATTTTCGTACTGTCTTCTAGTAGTTTGTTATGTAGACATTCTTTCCACTTGTAGCTCAATTCCTTGAAGTTGGTAAAACTACAAATATGAATGAAGTTAAACCTGACAAGTAGTGTTTGCCACTGTTCAGAACATTTGCATAGTTTTACCTAGCATGTTTTGACTTTTGACCATCTTTGCAGGGATCTTTGCAACATCTTTGGCTGCCTTCTGGAACCAGCTACTGTAAGTTATAGTAACTTTGTTTTTATATTTCTCATGTCACCTGCCTAAATTCAATTTTTTTATAATGCTTGATTGTTCCTGTGTGGTCTAATATTTAAAATGTATACAGATATATGCTGATATTTAATTCCAACTGATAAACTTTATTCTTCTAAAGATGAAATTTATTACTGATGAACTTTGTTCAGATGAAGGTCAGGATTCAGGACACTACAAGGTTTGTTAGTCAGGGAAAAATAGTGTCGGCATGCCTCTTAAAGAGATCATAAAAAGAAACTACCTTTTCACAAAGGCAAAGCTAATAAACTCATTTTATGGTGTAGTTCATCTAGAACAATAAGCAAACCAAATCAAACAAAAAGGACCCAGTTTATCTCACTCAAAGTAGGGTCTGTGGGTGAGATGTACTCAGACCTTGGCACCTTGCCTCTGCCCAAGATTAGTCTCTCTGTTCCTAAGAACCTGTATACAAGCATTGAAATGTAATGTGAACAGCCTAAAGCGTAAAACACCAAAGTAAAAAAGCAGGTAAGAGGTTAAGCAGTCCAGAATGATAAGTGCTAAGTAATATGGAATACACCAATGTACTTCTGCTACATTCTTCCCCAAGACCTGAAATAAGTTACTATTATTACTCCCTCTGTACGGCAATGAAGTTTATCCTTTCCTTTTCCATCCGTCCCAAAATAAACTTGAACACTTCTCATTTCTTTTTTAGGAAATGAATATGCGGCTCATAACATTTCTCTCTTTTGTTATAATTATGAGCCACATATTCCTTGCACATATGTTAATCATGAAGGCTGCAAATGTCTCCAGTGAAAGTGGGTGCATTAATATTTCTGATTGATAACACTACACTATAGTGGGTTGACTTCGAGATGATTTATAATTCATTTTCATTGCACATTGTTTTTACATACTTTGGAGAGTCTTATTCATTACTTCTACTCTTCTAGAAACAGGGACTAGGAATTGGTGATACTGAGATTTGACTATGACCACATCTTGACTGACTTAGTGTATGATTGAGTTTGTATTCCCTCATTTGTCTCATGTTTAGGATTGACTCAATTGTTAAGTAAATATTGCTAACTCATCCCTTTTTTGACAGCTTCCGACTCAACTCTACATGGCAATGGTAAAATTTCTTCTTGTATCCCAGCTATTTAAAAGTGCTCCTTGGAATTTATGTAATATATTGTCTTCATTCTATCAGTTACATGATAATTGTCTCTGCAGTTTTTTGCATTGACTACCTTCTTTCTTGCCGGGCAAGCGCTATACTATTCTCATATCTATCCACGACTGAAGTCCAACAGAAGGTCTCATAAGGTTGGAAATTTCTCTTTCACTCAATTCTATTCTTAATGTTTGTTTATAAATGCAACCAGAAGAATAGCTATTGGAGCAGAGGCTCTCCAAGAACCCATTAGCTAACAGTGGTTGGAGCAGTAGGCGACTCCAACCTATTCCTAGGGAGGCCAGGGGGTCAAATTTCGATGCAACTTCCTGTGTTCTAACCACTCCAAATCCATTGCTCCCCCAAACTCCCAAAGAGAGTTTGGAGCTCTTAAATCTTGTTTCCCACTGAATGCAATTTGATGCTCTATTTTTTCTCAAATTTATCTTTGTCTGCATATCTACTTTCTCTATAAAAAATGTTTCCATTTGAGGACTCTTTTTGTACATGCTGTGATAACATGTGCATCTCAAGGCTGATGAGGATGGCATATTTGAAAAGAGAATGGAGCATAACTACACTGCAGAGATCATACCAAGTAATCATCCCAGTGGACTGAGTGCTGGAAAATCCATACCTGCCTCTGGTGCTATTCCTAGCTCACCAATTCCCCTGCCCAGAAGCTCTAACAGTTCATCATTGGAAAAAGATTTATATTACAAGTATGTAATAATCTCCTTTCAACTTCTATGTTCCAGCTTGTTTTTTTCTCTTTATCCCTAATACACAGCTCTGTTTTGCACAATTGAGTTTATTCTGCTGGAAATGCTTTACAATATCAAGGGAGTGGATCCGTTTTCCTCCTTTTTTTATTTCTAAAGTAGCAATTGACTATTGATAATGTTGGATTTGAAGTCTTCTTACTTTTATGTATCGTTGTAACATATGCGTTGCAGTAGCACAACCTCCAACCCTTAATACTTACTCCGTAGTATCGTGACTACAGCCCATTAGCTTCACTAGAAATGATACCTTCAACTCCACATCCTAGGTGAGAACTTGGTTCAAGTTAATATTTGATATATGCATGTATCTGATTTTTGCATGCAATTAATTTATTAAGGTGGTAACTGGAAACCCTTTGGTTTGATATAATTTCTCAAAAATTACCCTCTCTGTGCACACTTCTTAAAATAACCTTGAGGTAGGCTAAAAGACAGATTGCCTGAGGTAACCCTTAGGTTTAGAGTATCAATCACAACAATCCTCTTATAACCACATTTCTTAAAACTACCCTAAGGTATGTTATGGCAGACTCATGACATAAACACCATATATTTTAGAATTCAAATTTTTAGCTAATTGATGTGGTATGCTTTTGCCTACCTCATGGCTATTTTAAGAAGCGTGCATATGAGATAGTCATTGTGAGAAAAGCCCCACCTAATGATTACTTGATGAAATTTCCCGTAAAAATATTTAGTTGAACTAAATAAAGAGTACAACAACAACAAAAACCTAGTATAATCCCACGAAAGTAGGGTTTGGGGAGGGTGAGTGTACGCAGACCTTGCCCCTACTCGAAAGTAAAGAGGCTGTTTCCAAGACCCCCAGCTCGAGCCAAACAAAAAGCACAACGCACGAAAGAAAGAGCAAGCTACAAGAAACAAAATGAAGAAAGAAAAGGAAAAGTCACCAAGCAAGGAAAACACACCGTGTGAGAGAAAAAGGCTACCTATGTTAATCTATAGGAGCTAGCAAAACTAGCTCTGAGTCCCAGAAGGTCATATCTAAGGTCATATCCTCGGTCTGGACTAAATAACATAGATCCTGTTTGATCACCTGACTTCCCTCAACTTATCCCCCATAGGAGCCACTCCCACATGTCCTCAAATAACTTCGTTCTGGATCTTATCCAACCTTTTCTGCCCACACATCCACCGTAGCATACACATCTCTGCACTATGCAGTTATCGAACGTGAGTTTTCTTCACCGCCCAACACGGAGTATGTATATATTAAGTTATTACGGAGTATATGACTAAGCAAGGCCTGTAATATTAGTTCCTCTCGGAAAGTCATTGGTTTCTTTTTAAACCTGAACACAAACAATCTTCTTGAAAATACAGTTGCATTTGAATGTGCAGGAAATAAGTCTTAGAAAATCTATTTTGCTGATTTATTAGGTCTGCGAGATCTCTATCAATGAGTCACACTCCTCCAGTTGGGTCTTTTCCATCGCACAAAGCACTTGTTACAGATGTTGAAAAGCATTCTGTTACTACGCCATTGCTTGGTGAAGTGCTTCCAGCTCATTCTCCACCTACTCCAAAAACAAAAAGCATGCTTTGTGTGGTAAGTTTCATTAATAATAATATTTGTTGAAGTATAAACAATTATAAATCAAGCTCTCTGTTTTCATCCACCTACTCTAATTTTTATCGTTTATCTTTTCAGGCTTCCTTATTAACCTGCCTTGTTGGTGGATGGAATCACCACAATACAAAAAACACCAATAGTGGAATTTTTCTTCAAAAACAAACTGGAAGAGTCCTGCTGCTTGGAAGAAAGCTTTTACAGGTAAAAAACAGAGGAATATCTGTGTGAACTAGATAATGACCCATCAGTGAATTTCCTTGTAATGAGATTGCAATGCAAAGTATATACTCTTCACCAGTTTGGAAAATAGAGTGTAAATGCTCCCATGGAAATGATTATTTACATATTTTTTGCTGTGTTTTTATGTTCTAGTATTCACATTTAATAAATTTCTAGAGCTGTATTTTGTAGTCACGTATTAAGGGCTTTTGGGATTGACTGGAATTGCAGGAAAATGGTGGTCTTCTGCTTCACAGTCAATCCAACCAGATCAATGGGATTGCAGCAGTTCTTGGCTGGGCAATGGCAGTTATTTACATTGGTGGGCGTCTGCCACAGATACGGTTAAATGTGAGTGCCGGTTTGTGAAATCATTGCATAATCATGATCTGGTTTTAGCTTTTTGTTGGTTATTGAATTGTTATGTCATACACCGGAACTAATTTTTTTATTTTGTTTATGTTCCACTCCCGTTTTGCAGGTCAGGAGGGGAAATGTTGAAGTAAGCAAGCTCTAATCTTCATATTTAAAATTTGAATACTAGCTTATGCATACAAGCTTTTACTTTGTGAAGCATTGGTACTGATGCATATTGCCATATATATACTTACCATCTTAGATAACAATTACGGAGTACATTCCATCTTGCAGGGGCTAAATCCGCTAATGTTCATGTTTGCACTGTTTGGGAACATCTCGTATGTAGCTAGGTGAACTGCCCGTTTCATATTCTTTTCTATGTCATGCTTCACAAATTTATCTAAATTTTATTAACATTTCTGTTTTTGTAAATATATTGTTTTTTCTTCCTTAGCATTCTTGTCAGCAGCTTGGACTGGTCAAAAATTGGACCAAACATGCCTTGGCTGGTTGATGCAAGTGGCTGTGTACTCCTTGATACCTTTGTATCCTTAATTGTGTGAATTGAATTAAATAACTTTATCATACTTGAACCATAAAGTCCCTTTCATTGTGGCTTTCGTACAATGCATGTCTAAAACCCACTCATTTGATGAGTGGGCCCGGGTTCATGCAAGGGACTTTGACCTCCAAGCACCTAAAGGCTAAAGGTGACCAAAATGCATGGCAGAGAAACAGTAGGACATCCATTGTTTGGCAATCCATTTACACAAAAAGACTAGTGAAACATGCAACTCCTTAATAAATTCTTCAGATACTCATTCAGTTTTTTTATTATCGTAATCGCGTAAGACGTGGAGTCGAGATTAAGCATGGAAATGGCAGCCACTAGAATTGGTCCCCACAAAGAACATAATTTGCAAGTAAGCTCTTCTTCTATGCTCTCAGTATAAACCTGACCTCTTCTCTCTAAGTGAATTGTACTGACCAATAATTAATACATATATGATCATATTCTATTTATAGTGTCAATTATATATTTCAAATTAGTGAACACTGTAAATTTATTCAGAAAGATAGTCAATGTTCATCAGATGTTCATTTCAACTCTATTGGGGTCCGGGGTCAAGACGTACACAACCTTTTTAGAGGGAAATAGTTTCCATTAGGCCTTGATGCTTACATGCATTTACTTCCCAAAAGCTTTATAGAAACTAAGACAAGAAATTTATACCGTTTTGATTTCTATTATTTACCTGAAGCTAAAACATTAAGACGTTTTTTCATATCTCCGATGGAGCCAAAGATTTACTATTTTTTGGTTTTTGGGATATGATGGGGCCAAAATGACTATTTAAATTGTCTACGCTTCAATGCAACTTTTGGCGCTCATTAGGTCATCTTGAAGGAGCCTCTCTATGTTTTAAACATAGGGGTCATGCTGCGTGCGTGATTACCAATGGTGCTTGAGTCAGGGGTCTCTTTGGAAACAGCCTCTCTACTTTCAAGTAGGGGTAAGGCCTACGTACACACACCATCCCCAGACCCTACTTTTGAATGATTCAATTGGGTTGTAAAACATTTAACATTACAAAAAATGACCCTTAGCTCCATTACAAAAACTTATTCTACCATTTTGAAAAATTAGAGGTAAAGTCTTGATGCATCTTAACCCCAAGACCTTACTTTGGAGTGTGATATATTGAGGAAGCTTGGTTTGGTTTGAGTTAAAGCCAATATTTGGATCGAACTATTTAGGTACCCCAGAGTACTACATACTCCTATATGTTTTTCTACTCCCTCCCACCCATAAAAGCATCATGTTTTCCCTTTTTGGATGTTAAAAAAAACATAGTACTTCCTTATTTGTTAAACTAGGAAGTTTTTTTTTTGGGGGGGGGGGGGGGGGG